GAAAGAGGTTTCTGTTGAAGATCCCGGAAGGTTTTCTATAGCGGATGATCTTGTAGGGCTCCCCTTTGCAGATACACTGAAAAAGACAAACCCTCACCCCGACCACTTGGCGTGTGTGTGCTCTGAACCCTGCTTTGGAAGCCCGCCTGCTGAAGCTGTGGTGCTGGGCACTGGGACAGTCGGAACGGTGCGATGCTCCCAGGGGCCCTGAGCCAAGCTGTTCCTTAAAGGGCTGGTCTCCATGGTCACTGCTGTGAGGTTTCTGCATGCCCTGTGCTGTCTATGGCACGATCACATAGGCATTGGGCTCTAGGCCCTCCAAAATCAGGTGCTTCTCTCCACAGAGCTCTTCCTTGCAGCATTTTGCAGCTGCAGTGTGGCCTTTAGCAGTGCGGTACCGAGCGAGACCATCTCTTTAAGACTAACGGCTCTCATGTTAGAGCTGGCACACTCTCCCTGGCTGGCTGAGCCCTAGCTTAATGACGAGTTTTGGTCAATTAAAATCAGTTCTCTCACGATCTTGGCCTGGAGTCTGGCTTCACTCTCTCAGCAGCTGCTGCTGAGCACTGGGAGTGGAGCAACTGCAGGCTCCTGGCCTCGGCAAACCTCTGCCAGGGATGTGTGCTGCCAGTGCTGCTGCCAGGCAGGCTAAACCACACCTGGAGTTCACGCTCCGAAGTACTAATCCTGCATGGCTGTAATCTTACCTGGTGTATCGGACTAACCATGACTGGAGAAAAGGCTTCCAGTTAATCGCGAGAAAGGGAAGCCTCCCTGAGAAGCTTATCTCGGTGTACTTGCATGCCTGTGGCTGACAAATGTGTTAAAGACGTGCCCTGTGCTGGTTTTCCCCTTGCACAGTGGGAAGCCTCTAACTGCTAGCGACTGGGAAGAGCAGGTAGAGCCAGAGCTAACAACTCCCTTCCCATGGGGCAGCTAAACCCAACAGAATCCTTGCTGCGTTGCAGGGCAGGAACATAAATTATTTCCTGTAAGCCATCAAATAATCCTGCCCGTTTCCTTTTCCACTGCTGCATGTGTGTGTGTGTGTGTGCAGGTGTGTATATATATAAATATACATATATATACACACACACGTACCGGCTCTCTCCCAGCCAGCTGCCCTTCCATGCAAGAAGCACATCATACAGCTGCTGGGTACACGGAGAAGGGGTCTGGCACTGCTAGGAGGGAGCGAGCGGTGGGATGCTCTGGAGAGGGGCTTTTGGAGTCTGCTCCACTTCCTTCCCAGGCTTCCCACGTGTCTGCTGTGCACCAGGACGAGCCGCAAGCCTTGGCTGATCCCAGGCATTCAAAGACCCCAGTCCCAAGGTCACCCACACAGCTTTTTGGAGTCGAGGGCCATGAGGATGTCCCAGCAGGCATCTCCTGGGCGTCCGCTTCTCTTGCAACTCCCTAGGAAAGGAGCATCCAGGGATTTGTGGGTTCCCAAGTGCTGGAGCATGTGTGCTGGAAGCCTGAAGGGCCTGCTGGGGAGGGGACGTGCTGTTTCGCGGGAGCTGACCCTTTCTCTGCTCTCTCCCCCCTGTAGTGCTGGCGTGCGGCCGCCCCCAGGCCACGGCGGTGTACAAGGTGTCCGAATACGCCAGGAGATTCGGCGTCCCCGTGATTGCAGATGGAGGGATCCAGACGGTTGGGCACATTGCAAAAGCCCTCGCACTCGGGGCCTCCACAGGTGAGCAGAACATCAAGCAGCTGGGTTGTGCCTGTTGTAGGGAGTCTCCTGGGAAGGATTTCCATACGGCATTTGATCCTGGGCATGAGGGCGTATACCTGCAGGCGGCTGGGGGCACGAGGCGTACCTGCTGTGCCCAGGGACCCTGAGGGTTTTTGCGGCCACAGCCTTCCTGCTGCTGATGTGTTGCTGCTCTTGATGCTCTCTTGTGCCAGTGATGATGGGCTCTCTCCTGGCTGCCACCACGGAGGCCCCAGGTGAATACTTCTTCTCGGATGGAATTAGGCTGAAGAAATACCGTGGCATGGGCTCACTAGATGCCATGGACAAGAACTTGGGCAGCCAGAACCGGTATTTCAGGTAAGAGATGTCACTTTGGGGCAGCAGATCAAGCTTTTGGGACTTCTCTGCTTCACAAACTTCCTTGATTTGTGATCCCATGCAGCGAGACAGACAAAATCAAAGTGGCCCAGGGGGTCTCTGGCGCAGTGCAGGACAAGGGCTCTATCCACACCCAAGTCCGGTGAGTGCTTCCCCTTGCTTGTACTGTGGTTAGGCTGCAGTGCTGCCATTGGAGGTCTCTGGGCAAGCTGTACCAATCCTGCAGTGCGTTCCGCTTGGTCTGACCTCGCGGTAGCCCTCTTCCTTGTCTCCAGTGGGCTCTGCATCACAGATTTGCCAGCCCCAGGGATGCAGGAGCATGGTCTCCTGTGGCATATTGTGCTGGTTGGGTCTGAAACGTTGGGGTTACCTTACTCTGCCTGGCTCATGGGAGCACAGCAAAGACCATTCTGGTCATAGCTGGAGGAACTGGTGTCCCTCGTCCCAGCTGCTCCAGCCAAACGCGTGCCAGAGCGCCATCTTCCCTGGGCTCTGGCTGGCACGTGACAGGTGTCCTTCGCCCGCAGAGCCATGATGTACTCAGGAGAGCTGAAGTTTGAGAAGAGGACGACATCTGCCCAGGTGGAAGGAGGGGTACATGGCCTCCACTCGTAAGTGCTGCTGGCAGAACCCCTGTCTCCCTGCGGTGGGTGTTGCGGGGGGAGTTGAGTGCTGCCGTCCTGTGCCTCAGCTGGCAAGCCAGCATGCTGCTGGCTTCACCTCCTGCTGCACAGCTGGACTGAGCTGCAGCCTGTCCTCTGGCCCGGGCCAGCGCTCCTCTCGCATCAGGGCATGAGCAGAGGTGCTGCTTGCTGCCAGTGTGCCGTGGCTCTTCCCCACCATGGGCCGGCAGGTCAGGAGCCGTTCCTAACTGTGCCTTTGGTCCTTGCCTTGGTCAGGTGGGTCACTAACAGGGCTGTCTGGTTTGCTGCTCCCCTCACAGGTATGAGAAGCGCCTCTTCTGAAGGATGTCCATCTGTGTCTGTCATCATGCCACTCAGCCCCGTGCCACCCTGAGTGGGAGCTGCTCTTGTTGCAGAAGTGCCATTACTCTGTGGGCTGCCTGGAGTTCCCTGCATCCCTTGGCTGCTTCATCACCACCCGAGAGGGCCCACCCACTGCCCAGGAGCAGTGATCCTGGGCTGGCGCCTTGCACGCGTTGGCCGTGTTTTACAATAAAAGAGGAAAAGATGTGCGGTTGGTGTCAGCCTGCAGCCCCTCTTTCTTCTGTACTGCCCTCATTCTCCTTCCCTGGCTCTCTCCTGCGCTTCCTGCACCCTCTCTGGAGCAGCTGATGGCCCCAGAAGGGACACTGCATGTGAGGGGGGATGGAGAACGGACATCCCCTTGACAGGGCTGAGCAGATAATGCAGTGTGGGGTGGTTAAAAAAAAAAAAACAGCAACACTTTCCTGAGAGCAGAAAACAAGCGGCTACTGGGTAAGAAAGCAAATGAATTTTACTGGGCCATTGGCTATTGCTGGGAGCTGCCTAACACAGCAGCTGCCAGGCTGCCGCAGGACCCTGTGCCCGGCCCAGCTGCTGCTGGAAGGATAAGCACATAGGTGCTCGTATGTATGTGCGCACCCACAAGGGACACGCTGGGACTGCTCTGCGCTGCAGCTGCTTACACACACCAGGCCCTCGTATCTTCCCATGCTTGGTCCTCCCTGACCCACCTTTCTCCTTCCCTTTGTTTCTCCCCCACCCCCAACATCCCATACTGTCCCACTCAACCCCTAGAGGCGTACCCCCATGTTGCCTCAGCAGCTGCACCCCCTTGGGCTGGTTGGTGCAGGTGGTACTGATCTGTTTGCCAGCAGGCATGTGGACAAAGAACTCGCACGGGCACAACTCGGTGCTCACTGGCTTATAGAGGAGTCGGGGTTTGGGTTTCTGCACGCCTGAGCAGTACAAACCTCCCCTGCATGGCCAGGTTACTGCTGCGTGCAGTACCAGGCATCAAAGGTATTTTTACCTGCTGCAATACATACAAATGTCGTGCCTGCTGAAAAGTGCGTGTTTACCATCAGCTTTTTGTGCATCTAATATTGTTGACTGGGGGAAAGAAAAAAAAAAAGAAAAAAAGCCAAACAAAACCAACCCAACCAAAAAAATCACTCCACAGCATGGCAATGTCAAATTAGATTTACACATCCTAGAACCAGAGCCTTGAGTTACAACGTAATTGTGTCAATGTCAAACATTCATTAACACAGCTGGCTCATTAAGCAAAGCTAGCCTGCAGTCTCAAGGCTGGGCTGCATAACCCCTCCCTGGGCCTGCAGAGGTGGCGGGGTTTGGGGACCAAGGCTGTGATGAGGTACATGTACCCCTACCCCATCCCTGGGGTGGCATCTGCAACCACGAGCCAGTGCAAGACACAGACACAGCCACACAGAGGGACAGTGCCCCCTCCCTCAAGCGGTGAGCCTGCAGGGAGAGGGGGTGCAGCGCCTCGTGCTGAGCTGGGACTGACTGCAGCTCCAGGCTTCACAAGGGACACAGGTGCACTGGGAGGGTCACAAAACCCCACAGGAGAGCCCCGGGGAGGCCAGCGCCAGCTGGGACGCACCAGTTGCCAGTGCTGGCTGTGCCCAGGGAGCTGCTGGCAGGTGGCAGCCCCAACACCACACATGCTGCCCAGGGAGCTGTGGTGGATGACCCACAGCCCCCCTGCCACCAGCTCTGCAGGGGCAGCGCGCACAAACAGCCCGATGGCACACTGCAGCCTCGCCCTGGCTGTGCATTAACCAACACGCAATTGCTTCGTACTTCCAATTAATGTATATTTTCCTTCTGGAGCCCCAAACGTGCCCAGGGGTGTGCAGCTCACCCTGCTGCAGCCTCCACCCCACCTCGGGGCAATGGCTTCCTGCTGCCAAGGCAGAGCAGCAGGGCTGGGGGTGCGGTGCTGCTGGCAACGCTGGGGCCTTGTGCCGTGCCCCGCAGCTCCCCAGCTCAGCACTGGGCAAGGCAGCCAGGAAGCCAAGGACTTCAGGGCCGAGCTGAGCCCGCACATTTCACGACGCCCTCCCATGTGCAGGGAGCCACCACCCAGCCACATCTGGGCTCTGACAGCTTAGTCCAAAGTGCTTCTCTGCCGGGAGCGGTGAGGGTTGGGGGCTGCAGGCAGGGAAGAGGAAGAGCTGCTCAGCCCGTGGCAGGCAGTGCCTACATCCCCATGTAGGTGCCCCGTGGAGGGATGAGCCCAGCAGCTGCCATGCGCTTTTCACTTGTTAGGAAGTTGAAGGTTGCGCAGGCATTTGGCTGTAAAATAGAAAAGGGAGGGAGTGAAGCCCCAGGCCTCCTGCAGAAGATGCAGCCCTTCCCTGTGG